ATGATTTTGGTCTATAATTTCAAATATACATACACCATGACGAAATAAATTAACAAATGATAATGCCTTTAAATTAACTTGCATTCAGTAGAATATGACTCAAAAAGAAGATTGTACTTCTAAAAATAATAATATTAATAATATTGAGCAAATCATTCAACATGATATTGTTCAACAAGATACTATCATGAATAATTCTAATGAAGCAAATATACAATCTAATATTTCTATTGATGTCTTATCTATTGATAATGAAATACGAAATTTTGAGAATAATGAAGGTGAATCTTCTGAACATGTAGAGGAGCAAGCTGAAAATCAAGATATAATAAAAATGATCGAAAATATAAATATGTTTAGTACTAATAATCAAATTACATATGATGAAGCTATTAGTGAAATTACATATAACAAAGCTATTAGCGAACATAACAAATCATTAGAAAATTGGTTATTGTTTAAAAATTTAAATAATGTATTGTAATTTGCATTTATGTTGCTTAACAATTAATTAATATTTTGTAATTTGCCTTTGCGTTATTTAAAAATTAATTGTAAAAATAATAATTGCTACAAAAAAAAAAAAAATCAAAGATTACTTATTATTACTTAATGCCAAAAAACTTAATTAATATTAAGTAATATTAGATAAGAATATGTAACTTACTTTGCCCATCTCTAGACACAGGCATCAGATGAATTATAGCTCCGCCTTCAGACAACTATATAAAAAAGATTGTGTGAAATTTGTACGTACGTATTATATTCGTGTTGAATATACAGAATGTAATTTTTTTGACATTTTTCGCAAATATTATACAAATATATATTTTATACAATCCTTTTTATAGAGCAAGTAAATTAACAAGAATGTAGATCATTATTCATTATGTCATCAGGTTTATTAAAACCAAGATTTGTGTATGATGTTATGCCCAAAATAGAAATTCAATAACAGCTTCCATATTTTGTTAATTTTGAGGATCTGTATATGGAAACAGTAAGCCACATCGGTTAAGGGATTTCTGATATTAATATTAGAGTTAGATAATAATGGTAGAAGAGTTAATAACTTCAGCAAGAAAAAAATAGAAGTTAGTAATTAACGTAGAAAGTTAGAAATTAGCAAATGCAGAATTAGAAACTATCAGATAAAAGCTTCTAACAATTAGAGTAAAAAAAAATGTATATACATTGCTGAAACTGCCCAATTTAGCCACTTTAGAACTACTTTAAAATAGCTATAAAGTAATTATAAAGTAACTATATAGTTACTTTCTAGTAGCTATAGTTATACATTTGCTATAGAGTAGCAATATGCCTATTACTACTTGCTACTACTTTACTACTACTTTGCTACAATGTTATTATACTTTTACTACAATTTTATAAAATTTTTTTTTAAAAAAAAATTTTGAAACTTTTTTTTTTTAAAAAAAATTGTAGTGAAAATATAGTAACATTGTAGCAAAGTAGTAGTAAAGTAGTAGCAAGTAGTAGTAGACATATTGCTATTCTATAGTAAATGTATAACTATAGCTACTAGAAAGTAACTATATAGTTACTTTATAGGTACTTTATATATTTTAAAGTAGTTCTAAAGTAGCTAAATTAGCAGTTTCAGCAATATAAGAAATGCTTCTCTGGGCAAAGATAAGGATAGGTTGAACTCTCTTAGATGAGAAAACAACCTCTCTTTAATAATATTATTAGTACAATCAAAATTTTTATGTCTTACTTATTTTAATAAAGGCCCAAATTCAATATACGTTAAATATTGTTTTCTTATAAAATGTTGTTAAAGCCTTTTTATCAATCATAAATCGATCCTAAAATAAATAAAATATATAAATATTAGAAAAGAATTCTATCCTAATCATAACACAGTTCCTTAAATCCATGTATATACTTAAATCATTTATATCTAACAGATAGTTATAATAAATGCAAAACATGATTCAGTTGTTTTACTACATTACTGGTATAATATCGACACATTAATATTAAGTTTTGTTTGAATACTTACCCAACATGTCTTGTGTGAATGTACTAAATTTATAAAAAACTATCAAGAATACAAAAAAGACTCCAAATATAAATTCAACTTTATATAAATATATTACATGATATTTGTAAACTATGTGAATAATGTGGGAAATATATATAGAGTCAGAAATGCAAAAAATCCTGGTAAGGATTAACACCTCACTGGGTAAAGTATAGGTCATGGATAAAGTAGTCTGAATCCTCTTGTATCAAAAAGTCACTCAATTGTATCACATTGTATTATATATCTATAATTAATAATAATAAAAGTTACAAAGGGTACCTCATTTTCAAAAAAAAATATATAAGTTGAAAAACATCATCACAACAAAGTTTATATGTAATTCTATATGTTTTTGTTATAATTTTATATATAAAAAGCTAGATATGAAATATTGTATAACTGATATAAAATTATATATAAATTTTGTTGCAATGATATTTTTCAACTTATATATTAACTTTAAATTAAATTTTATAAATAAATACATCTAAAAAAGATAATAAAGTGTGTTTTAAACTAAATTTAAATTTTGCAGTTTTGATATAATTTGAAAATATAAATCTTCAAAAGAAAAAATTTAACAGATTTAAAGTAATAAATATATATATAATTATACTTTAAACAACTTTTAGTTAGAGAGTAAAAAAGGTTATCTTAGTAAAAAAAGTTTGCTATATACTAATATCAAAATTTTAGTTTTTTTACACAAAACTTTTTTTTATATAGATAACCTGTTTTGTTCTCTTAAGAAATTTGTTTTAATTCTACATACTTTATATCTTGCTAATTTTATTATTTTTATACTTTTTATTAAGTAAAAGATCAGATCAAATATTATATAAAAAATTTTTTTTAAAAATTTTATTGAAAATATTTTTTATATAATCTTTGATCCAATCTTTTATTTAGTAAAAAGTATAAAAAAACAAAATTGACAAAATACAAAATATGTAGAATTATATGCTGAACAAATTTGTTTAAGAGATCAAAAGTTTTATATAGAAAACTGAAAATTTTAATATTAGTATATAGCAACTTTTTTTACTAAGATAACCTTTTTACTCCCTAATTAAAAAGTTGTTTAAAGTATAATTTTATATATATTTATTATTTTAAAACTGTTAAATTTTTTCTTTTGACAGATTTATATTTTCAAATTTTATCAAAATTGCAAAATTTTAATTTAGTTTAAAACATATTTTATTATTTTTTTTTAATATATTTATATATTAAATTTAAGTTAATGTTAATATTTAAGTTGAAAAATATCATCACAACAAAGTTTATTTGTAACTTTATATATTTTTTGTTATAATTTTATATATAAAAAATTTACATATAAATATGTATAAAAAATCATATAACTGATATATTAATAGCAATTAGGATTAGTAATAATTATCTTGATAGATATATATATATTTTTTTTCTTTTAACAGCTTGCCAGTATCTTTATTAGATTAAAGTATATGTATATATATTTAACTATCTAAGCTATAGATTTAATTACTATAAAGAGTACTCAGCAATAATTTGCCTCACTAGTTAAGGTTTTATTCATACTGAAGAGTTACATCAAAATAGTTATTGAAGCTATACCAAAATGACTTTGTTCTATTTTTAATAAAATTTTTAATAATACCAAATTAAGTATTTTCTTTTCTATTTATATTCTTCTCTTTATCTTTCTTGTTTTCTTTCTTTCTAATTTTTTACTTAGTTTGTTCTTAACTTTGGCTACACTTTTCTATTATAAGCTCCATCTCCTTTATGCTGATAATTGGCTTTTTGGTTCTTGATCTTTTTTCTTTTTGCTTTTAGAATTATTCTTTTCTTTTTTTATATTCATTAATATACATATATTTTTACTTTCAAATATTCTTATAAAAATAATTTTATACCAACTTTATGGCTATAACTAAATAGTATCTAGACATCTGCAAACTAGACATATGTCTGTATCTAACAAAATCTTGGCACAGCATGGTACAAAAAATTTGGCACTAACTTGTCTAAACAGCTTGTAAATATAGACATCAAAATGCCAGGCACTAATTAAATGCTTTGTGCCTATAGGTATATAAGACACAGGTATAATTAACCTAGTACTCTTATATCTAAAACACAAATGCTTGGCTTAAAGTGCCTAACATTTTAAAAATACAGACATGAAAGCGTCTAACATATTTGTGTCATAGTATAGGCATAGAACATATACAATAATTATGTTACAACTTATGTTAATTGCTTGCTAAAGTTTTATATATTAAATAAAAATTAATTAAAATAAAATAAATTTAAAAAATAAAAAATAAATAAAAGTAATTAGATGTTTGCCCAATATTAATTACTGTACAGTGCACTTTATAGTATTTCAAGTATATATAGGTAAACTTGCATTAACTATGAATAGTACTCTAGGTATTGTATATAGTACTGGTATAATACTTGGAGAGTACTTTGTATAGAGATACAATTCACAAAAATTTATCCAGTTATTTACCAGCTGTACTTATGCTTTTTATAGTATGTTTTGAATTAAATTCAGAGTTAAAAAGATTTATTTAATTATAAATTATTAAAATTTTATTTTATATTCATTAAATAAAAATTTAAATAAAAAATATTTTATTAATAATAAATATTCATAAAATTGTTTAAAATCATTTTTAATAATTGATGCAAACTCAATAATTAAATAGGTATAAGTAAATTTACTGCAAATTTGATAGCTTATTTAAAGTAATCAATAAATCAATATTTTTTATACTTACAAGTTATATTAATGTAAAATAACTAAATGAAATGTAAAGTAGAGTAATGATAAATATCTTTATTATTTTTTAAGAGAAAATTATACTTAAAAGTTTAAAAAATAAAAATAATTATAAATAAGACCCAAAGTTAAAACAGTTATATATAAAGGTCTAAATTTTGAAAGTTGAAAGTTTTAATATTTAAAATTATAAATATAATTTTTTTTAATAGTTAATCATATATTTTTACTTTGAGTTAATATTTTATTTATTCTATTACATCTTTTATATAGAAATTATGACTACTTTTGCCACTTTTTAAAATTTCTCTATGAATACAAATAAGCTTTTACAGTTCTAAAATCTTTAATTACTACATAATAATCTTCACAAAATATGTTTACTAGTTTAGTATTATTAGTTTAAAACTGAATAAATATTATAAGATTGATAAATATCATACTTAACCTAGTTGAATTGTATATTAGTTAAAAAAGTATCATTAAACAAAAGAGTATAGTATAAAATGTATAAAGTAATGTATCTACAGTCAACTCTTTCTATAATGAACTAATAGTTTTAGAAGAAAAAATAGTTGTTATAGAAAATTACTATGTTGTCATAAGAACCCATAGCATTTTTTATATCAAACTACTACAGAATTTAAAAATTTTAGGT